AAGTAAAGAATATATATATATATATATATATATATATTACTATAATGCAAAAATAAATTCAATTATATGTCAAATAATGAAAATTTATTATTGTTATATGTATATAATTTTGTAACATATTTTGTAAAATATAATGTAATATATATATATACATATATATATATATATATACAGTAGATAGATAGATAGATAAATAGATAGACAGATAGACAGACAGACAGATGATAGATAGATAGATATAGAGACAGACAGACAGACAGACAGACAGACAGACATGAACTCATCAGAGGAAACCCTCTCCCACTCACGCGCGCCCCCGCCCCTCACTGCGCGTCCACGTCCACAGCGATTATCGGAAGGACACAGCGACGCGCTTCCGTGACATTAATGACTAAACACTACAGCGGGAGCTCTCGAGCGGATTTACGAGCGAAACGGCTGTTGATCGCGGCGTGTGTTCGCGGACGGAGTTGCACCGGGGAAATGCAGGGACGCGGACGCGAGCGATAAACAGCGCAGGTGAGACGCGTGTGACGCAGGAATGTGGTTCTCTTGTGCTGTCGGTCTGACGCGCTCGGCTTGTCTCTGTTCTGGATGCTCAGGCTGGATCTGTGTTTGTGTGACTGTCTTAATTAAATAACCGATAATAATTAATAAATAATTAAAGTTAATAAATAATTAATTTATCAAGTAACAGTAATTCAGAAAAAATAATAATTTAAAATATTTAAAACATAAAATATTATTTTAGCATGTTTATTTGTTTGTTTTTGCGTTGCGACGTATTCAAGACCAGCTCACGCACAATAAACATAAACCGTATGTTGATAATGAAAAGACAAAACTGATCAAAGTGAACCGTGCTCTCCGTTCATCTCCCGAGTAGCTTGCAGCTTTGATTAGGCTGATTGGATTGCTGTCTGCATGTGTTTAAGTGTATTTGGGTCAGCAGTGCTTCGTGTGATGATGATGATGATGATGATGTCAGGATTGACAGTTCGAGCAGCTCACGACAGCGTTAGCAAGAGAACCGCTCAGGCTTTAAACGGCTGTCGAGGCTTGGCTAGGCAAACACAGCGGGCTAAATTAGCAACCGGTCATTAGGGTTTCTGATGCGTCCCTGGGAAGTGCAGAGGCTCATGGGAACAGGCCTAGGCTGAATCTGTGGTCTCGTTTCACCTAGAAACCAAACCAAACCACCCAGAATTGTTCTAAATCCTAGTGAGCTCCCTATCTAGACAGCATTTGCAGGCATTCAGTGGTTTCAGGATGCTCCCTAAGCAGGTAGCTGTCTCTGTAGGCAGCAGACGTCTTTCATTAAAGGGATAGTTCACCCAAAAATGAAAATTCTGTCATTAATTACTCACCCTCGTGTTGTTCCAAACCCGTAAGACCTTCGTTCATCTTCGGAACACAAGCTGGAGACTTCATCAAGTCTCTGTTTGCTCTCCACTGACGTGTAAGAGGGATCTCATTCAGGATTTTTTTTTCTATGGGTTCGTTTGCTCCTTTCAGCAACCATTTTCTCGAGTTGCTTTGTGTGTTTTTGGAGTTTAATGTTCTTGGTGTTTCATTGTAGGTTCTTCAGATTCTTCTCTTGTGTGCTTGTTTTCTAAAACACCAGTACATCAGGCTGTAAAAGCAGCTGTCGTTCTAACTGGAGCTTTATTTCGTGTGGATGTTTCCTCTCGTGCAGCTGATGAGAATCCAGATCGGTTGATTATAGCCGGTGAAGAACACGGACGCTGAGCAGAAAATTACAGTCTGAGGGTCGGGATGATGTGAGGAGTGTGTGTGTGTGTGTGTGTGTGTGTGTGTGTGTGTTCATGCATGAAATGGTGAGCGTATGGCTTGGTGTTTCTGGAATATTGTAGATTAATGTCTGGCGTTTGGATGAGAGGATGAGGATTTGTGTGTGTGTGTGTGTTGAGCGTGTTACTGGAGATGAGTTGTGTTTGCACATAAGGAAGTTTCGTCAGTTTCTACTGGATTGGCTTGTGTAAGGTTTACTTTGTGTTTCGTAAAGTTGACTTTCTTCCTGTTATTGTGAAGCAGAAAGTGCAGAGATTGTGTTCTTTAAGGATAGTGTCGTCATCTTTCTTCTCTGGAACACAATGTACAGTCACACTTTACAACTATACACAATAACTGTAGGCTATTTGTATTTGCATATGTTCAAGAATGTACAGTAAATACGGTGCAATAAGATGCTTTTCCAGGTTTATCATCACTGATACTTGCTTGTCATGTCAAACTTAGTTTTTTTTTTCCTCATGCAAATCAATCATATGTCTGAAGACTTGGGATGAAGCAAGTTGATGGGTTTAAAGGACCAGTGTTATTTTATTTTATTTATATACTACACTGTAAAAAAAAATTTAAATTAAGTTGTAAATAAAATAAAGATTATTGAAGTACGTTTTACAAAAAATTACAAAAAATTATTGAAAATTGTTTCACCATTTTATTTATCAGTGTATTAAAGTAGCCTATGATGCTCAGGCTGGATCTGTGTTTGTGTGACTGTCGGGGTGGTCTGTGTGTAGTCCGATATTAGAATCTCTGGCTGATCCTGCGTTCATCATATGATCAGTGCGACCCTGCAGCGATGCGCGCGGTGACACTTACAGCAAATCCTGGCTTGCTGCATGCAGATATTCACTGCACATGAATGTGAATGTCAGTCAAAATAAAAGCAGTACACGTACTTAAATACAAATCCTTGTAAGATGACTGTGTAGACAATGTTCTGGCAATCATATGCTCACTGGAGCTATTTATTTAAATATTTAATTTCTACTGTTGCATGAATCGTGTGCATTCATGTGAATGTCAGTCTACTAAATACACTCAATAAGCTGCATGTGCATGTATATTGCTTATGCAGACATCTAGTGAGCTGCCTATCTAGAAATCATTTTGGACCTCGTAGTATCAAAATCTAGTGCACTGTTTAGCTAGACAGCATTTATGAATGTCATAGTCTCCAAACCTAATGAGCTTTCTACCTAGACACCATTTTTGGGCATCAAAGTCTCTCATTATTTTTGGACCTTGAAGTATCAAAACCTAGTGAGCAGCCTACATAGACAGCATTTTGAGAAACCTAGTGTGCTGCCTATCTAGACATCATTTTTGGACATCATAGTATCAAAATCTAGAGGACTGTTTACCTAGACAGCATTTTTGGGCATTAGAATCTAGTGAGCAGCCTACATAGACAGCATTTATAAGTGTCATAGTCTCAAAACCTAGTGTGCATTCTACATAATCGGAAATCATAGCCTACTAAGACAGCATTGTGGGCATCATAGGCAGCTGCCTTCATAGGGAGTTGTGTTTATGTACGGTTTTGGTCATCAGATGCTGGAAAGGCATGATATGTATAGGTAGTTGTCTGGATTTTGCTGGCTTCAGTGCCTCATTTGTTTCCAGCGATCATGTCGACTAACTAGACCTCATCGTGCTGATTTGTCATTATTTCCCGGCTCGGGTGAACAGGAATATAATCCAGTTTCATTGAGTTAAGGATCTTTAGGAGGCGAAGCGATGGGGTGTCAAGCTGTGAGCCCTTCATAGTTCAAATCCATTAAAGCCGATATGGATTAGTGCGTTTCATAACGACGGGCTATGAATAGTGTTCTGCTTGCTAGGGCTTTTATTGTGTCACATTTCTCTGGAAATGTAAAGCATCATGTGTGGAGCTCGCAGAACCGGATCCTGCGTCAGTGTTAAATATATGTTTGTGCCAGCTGACAAATGAAGCCTTATGAGCGTTAGTTTTCCCTTACACTGTTTATTTTCTGTTATGAATTATGAGTGGTGATTATTTGTGTAAATTCTAAAATTAGCATCATAATGAGAGTGTGTGTATGTATATGTATATATATATATATTTATTATTAAATTGTTATATTATAATATATTATCAGGTCATTTCAGAACATGGACTATAAATATATTTTATATTCTTTTTCTTATTATTATTTTATTTATTTTTTTAAATTATATTTAATATATATTGTGTTATATTTTAAATTATAATATTTATGTTTATATATTATATACTCTTGTTATCAGACATTTGAATATAAGAGCATATTTTATTTTACCCTTTTATAGAAATGCTTCCGTAAATAAATTATTATTTTAAAGTTACTGCAGAACAAGAATGACTATAACAATTTTTTTTCTTTTATATTATATTTAATATTGTTTATATTATAATTATTTTTGTTTTATATATTGCAGTATATATTTAAATGTATATATTACGTAGTCTTGTGTTATCAGACAGATAAATATAGAAATATTTCCATTACAATTTTTTTTTTTTAAATTGCAGAACAAAAATGACTAAAAATATAACTATGTAATATATTATATTTGTGTATTATATTTTATTTATATAATATTTATGTGTATTTTGTTTTATATATAGCAATATATTTTACATTATTATATTTTTATGTATATATTACTTACATAGTCTTGTGTTACCAGACAGATGTGTGTGTGTGTGTTCATGCATGAAATGGTGAGCGTATGGCTTGGTGTTTCTGGAATATTGTAGATTAATGTCTGGCGTTTGGATGAGAGGATGAGGATTTGTGTGTGTGTGTGTGTTGAGCATGTTACTGGAGATGAGTTGTGTTTGCACATAAGGAAGTTTCGTCAGTTTCTACTGGATTGGCTTGTGTAAGGTTTACTTTGTGTTTCGTAAAGTTGACTTTCTTCCTGTTATTGTGAAGCAGAAAGTGCAGAGATTGTGTTCTTTAAGGATAGTGTCGTCATCTTTCTTCTCTGGAACACAATGTACAGTCACACTTTACAACTATACACAATAACTGTAGGCTATTTGTATTTGCATATGTTCAAGAATGTACAGTAAATACGGTGCAATAAGATGCTTTTCCAGGTTTATCATCACTGATACTTGCTTGTCATGTCAAACTTAGTTTTTTTTTTCCTCATGCAAATCAATCATATGTCTGAAGACTTGGGATGAAGCAAGTTGATGGGTTTAAAGGACCAGTGTTATTTTATTTTATTTATATACTACACTGTAAAAAAAAATTTAAATTAAGTTGTAAATAAAATAAAGATTATTGAAGTACGTTTTACAAAAAATTACAAAAAATTATTGAAAATTGTTTCACCATTTTATTTATCAGTGTATTAAAGTAGCCTATTTATTCATATTTTGAATTAGCTTTAGGTTTAGATTTCAGTTTTTATTTTTTATTTTTATCATAATTTAAGTTTTAGTTATTTTATTATTTCATTTATTGATTAATTTATATTAATTCATTTAATGATAATTGTACTTTTGTAATTTTTTATTAGGCTATTAATTTTTATTTCAGTTTTAATTTTAGTACTTAAACTTATTTTATTTCAGTTAGTTGCCAAAGCAACATTTAAATTTTTTCAAAATTTTTTTTTTTTTTTT